CTTCATATTTACGTATACTTTTTATTTTGACGTGTACCTCCAATTTTTGGCGGTACACGATTTACAGTGTAGTAAAATGTACGGTAACATTTCAAAAAAACTCTCATGCAGTTGTTCAAAATGCCATGTTGCCCCACGATTGTATGATTTTCAGGGCAAATTTTGAGAGACAATTCTCTCCGTGTATCTTTCCATGTTAGGTATATTGGCATTTGTAATTTGTAAGTGTTGTTTTTAACATCGCATATCTTTTAATGAGATTCTATACAAGCCGCGTAATTAAAGATTTATTACTCACATTGGGCAATTGAATGCTCGACTGAAATAGATTTAAATAATGCAAACGAAATGTCATTTTAAATAAATTTACTAGTTTTTTCCCGCGATATATATACAATGCAGTGCTTGACAGACTTGTTATCTAACGGAGAAAGTGTCAATCCCCAAATAGGGAAATTCCTCTTTTACGTTTCAGTAGCGGAGTTTATCGACTCTGTTATTGCGACATTCGAAATCGCTTGGTTTGTTCGCAACTGGTTGTAACACACCCGGCAAGACACGTGTGGGCTGACTTATCGAATCCTGCTCGCAATCGCACGATTTGTGTTTCGTCACGTGTACGACCCACTTGAGCTATGAAATACGCGCCAGAGCGAGAACATCAGCCTGGATTTCCAACTGCCGTTTTTGCAAAGGTGGTTTTACGAAAGGCAAAATTCAAGGGTTAATTGCAGGGAAAATTTCTGTTGTTTAAGCAACCGTGAAAGTAAATTCGACCATCTATTTGCCAACACACTTTTAAGATACCTCAATTTCAAGGCAGAATTGTTGGGGAGAAAATTAATGCATTGAAAGTATTATATTAAATCTCATATCGTTAACTTATACATATAAGATTAAATATATATACTTTTAATATAATATATGGAGGAAAGTTCTTTCTTTATTATGAAACAGGATTCTAACATGAGATAGTAAGTTTTTAACGTCCAAACTCAATCGTTTTTCGCAACGTTTACACGATCCAACAATAAATTTTCCACTAAACAGATTTCACTCCAAGGGTAATAAGTTCATGGTGGAACCAACAGATGATGCCTATTAATTTAGCGGAAACTCCGCTATCTCGTATTAGGAGCCTGTCTCATAATACGGGACTTTGCTCTATCTTTTTGGATAAGAGATCAAGCAAAAAGATAATCTCACTAGAATTCTTTTTTCATTGTTTTCAGCATAAAACATGTTATGCTCTGATAAGTCATCAAAATTTTAACTCTTTTATTTAAAAAAAAAAACGGATACCTACATCCTATTAGGAGCCTGTCTCATATTAGGAGCCTGTCTCATATAGGTAGATAAATGAAACGAACACTTGGTATTTGAAGAGAAGAGAAAACTGTAAAATTTAAAAGGCGATTTTTATTTCGAAATAAAAATGGCAGATTCTACGATACTTAATTCTTCGTGTTTTCTCAATATCGACAATTAGTTTGTAATTATAGGTTCGACCCTAATTTTCGAAGGTGCTCAACGAAGCGCGCGGTAAAATCAATGCCGGGTTCGCGAATGTGGCACGTGTGCTATACGTGCACTCAGTTCCGGTCGAGGAAGCAACGGCTTTGCGCGAATTTTAATGCCTCCGTGGTAGGGTCCTCATATAATTTTACGCTTTGTCGATAAAATTTAATTAGGCGATTTCTTTTGCCGCCCAGCGGAACTTCTGAATAACGCGCGGCGCGTTAGATATACGATATCAATTATTATTCCCCGCGAGCCACACCGACGCGAAACGCCTGTTAATGCGCCGTTAGACACATTCGATTTAGATTTCACGAGAATTGCCCAGCGCGATTTCTCAGGACCGAAGTTGAAACGGTGAACACGAGTGTTCGAACATACAGAGATTTCAAGCTAACGTATAAGATGATTAAAGACCGAATGGAGTACTTAAGCCTGGCGTAAGGAGTGAGAGAAAATATAAACCATAACCTTTAGCTTTTGGTGTAAAGGCCTGTGTCCACGATGCTTGGACCTTGAGGAAGCGAAAATACAGGCATAATTTTTAAAATATTTGTAACACTGGCCGATGGCGTTCACCGAGAGTAAGCGTAGGCGCTCAAGTAGGAGTAAGAAATAAAATTGATTTATAATATTTCCTTACTTCAGGCTTACTGCACGCATTGTAGACGACGCGTAAGAGAAAACACGAACATATCTCGCTAATAAAAATAACTTCAGTTAGTAACATGCTTCTAATGGAAGGGTGAAAATAACGTATTTTTGGCGATGACTGACAAGACGAATCTTTCGAGCGGCAGGCACGAGATAATTCGTGTCGCGCAACTGTACAAAATATCCACGTAGGATCAATCAAATCTCGGTATAGATTTGCGAGATTCAAACATCTGGTACACATCGCGCTACGTGAAACCTGTTCGACCGAGGCACTCATTTGTCACTCGTTTCAGATCTGCCGGTTTCTTTGTTCGACGCCATATGGACGGGACAACATCAGCAACGAGGCGGCCGACGCGCACGTATTATGAAAAGCAGAAATCCGTGTAAGAGAAGAACCGTTACCGCGCCGCGCCGCGCGCTTCGCGCAGGTATACATACATATAAATGTGTACACTCGCGGCTTCTCCTCAATTACCCATTACTACTACGTGCGCGTATTCACCTCGCGCGAACACGTTCTTTTTATTAACGGCAACTACCGCCGCGCGCACGTATGATGCACCTGCGATGACTAACAGTAACGCGTGAATGGGAGAGAGAACGAGAGAAAGAGAGACGGGACACGACTGGGCTCGATCTACGCGACTCGAGACAATCGCGAGAGCGCGAGTCGCTCCACCGGTTTGCCGCGAATCTTGTAGCCACGGTGTGTAACGACATCGATTACGGTACGTCACATTTAACAGTTTCCGTCAGATAACGTCGAAAATAACGCGCGTAAGTTATTAATTATTTTGCGAGCCCGCGTCTGTAGTAGAAAATGAAATAGAAAAATTGATGAAGGGAAAGAGAGAAAACTATGGCATGCCCTCCCCAAATTATTGTATTTCTTGAATTACGATTTCTATCGGTGAAAACGAAAATGTGTTTCCAAAGAAGAGCCGAAAATTCGAAAATTAAATGTGCCATTGTTTCGTTGTTGCGTAATATTTAATTATTTAATTCGGCTGAACTGCGTTTACACATATTTACAATAAAGAGGTTCAAGGATTACGAGTATCAATTTATTCATCGCATAACGCAATGTCCATTTAAGTATTCATAACGGCAAAGCATTATGCCATTTTTATTATTTAATTCTTTCGGCCACAAAATACTGAATTTCATTTTCACTTCATATTTGCGCTTTTCAACAGCAGGTAAAGTTAACATCGCAACAAAATTACGAGTGCCATCGATCAAAACAGATCGATCACAAACAACGAGTCTCGTATATGACATCGTTGCAAAACCACTCAAGATTAAAGAATTAAATACAGAAGGTTCGGATGAATGACGGAACAATGAGCTCTTTGCGTCTAGAAACATCCTATTTTGCAGTCAATAAATACGTTTAAAGAATTTGTACAAGTCGACAAATTGCCTTTTATTTTACAAACGTACGTTGTTGTTAGAAATTTCTCTTTAAGAACGTTAACTCCCTTACCTGTCTTGCCTATCGGCGGCTGTCCCAGTCTGCTGAACCACCTGAAGAATCTCCTGGCCGTCGTGGCCGCCGGTGGTCTGCAGCCGTCCAAAATAACCACGCCGTTGTTGTTGTTGTTGTTGTTATTATTGTTGGGCCCACCGCGATCCGGCGGCGCCGTCCTGCTGTAGGGCGACATCCAGGCCGTCGTCGTGCTCTGTATGGTGGCACCCTTGACGGTGGTGATGGAACTGGTTATCTTGGCGCCCGGGTGGGGCACCCAGTCCTCCGAAGCGACCGGCATTTGTCTCGTCTTCTCGTCGGACGAGTCGAAGACGAAGCCGCAGAATACGAAGGTCATTCAAAGTCGCTTGCCGCACTGATAATTGAGCCCTCTCTTCCGGAGGGGGAGAGGGATTCCCGGAGTCCCCCGCTTCTGTTCCTCGACAGGGACTTCTTCTTCTTCTTCTTCTTCTTCGACAATACTCTCGATAACGTTTGCGCTACATCGCGCTACGTCGCGACGCTGAGAACTTGGAAGGATAGAAACTCGGAAACTCGGGCCTGCGAGCTCGAGTGCCGCGATTCACAGAACTTTGGCGGGCAGAGCGCGATCGATCTCCGGAGTTTCAGGTCACGATAATATTCTCGTTGCGCCGCGATCCGTCGACTGACCGCCCTCGCGATCTTATTGTCCCGCTCGTCGCGGAATCCCTTATCGAATCCCTTATCAGCGACGACCAAATGTTATCGCTGTAGCGCGCGTCACCGGGTCGCCGTCTTACGTAAGAACAGGCACTTTAATTGATTCGAGCGCGCTGCGCTCGGCCACGTGCTCTCTTTCTCTCTCTTTCTCTCTCAACTTGTTGCGCGTTCGACGCAACCGACGGCGGCCCGAAATCGATCGGGACTCCGAGAGCCTAGAAGAGCCGCGTAGAAACCCGTGATCTCTCGATCGCGGGGCGACGTCTAAGATTTCGTATCCCGGATAATCCGGTAGAAGCGAGTCTCAGCAGAATCTCGACCGTCCACTTGTTGAGCCCGCGAACGTCTCCACGAAGGTTCTCCAATTAATACCAGGATCTTCCTGTCACGAGGTTAATAAACTTTCTCGATCCTGTTGAGCGGAATCGAATCGAGATTATTGCACGGTCGATTAGGTTTTGCTATTTGGTATACGTCACAAGGTACTCCGTTTCCAGGGGGGGGTTGCAGCCTCACAAAGTAGCACTAGAACTCCGTTCGTCGCGGAAAGCACTCGTTGCCGCGACGCGTCCCGCGCCGTCTATACGCGTAGCGTGATCACGTCGTCGTCGCTGCCGCACGCTACCACGCAACAGCCGACACTTGGAGGTCGAGGCTAGATGTATATATATATAATTTCTCTTTCGTTCTTTCTCGCGCGCTCTCTCTCTCTCTCTCCTTCTATCACCGGCCGGTCGTGCTCCGTCGATCACGCAGCTCCCTCATTACTTGCGCATCGCCGCGCTACGGAGAACCATCATCGCCGTGCGCAGTTCATTCGCCCTGAACGCGAGCAGACGACTCCGGACAACGGCGGTTACGACGCGGCTCGGGGCCCGCTGGCGTCTCACTCTCCCTCTCTCCTTCTCGCTCGCGACGGGAACGAGGGACGAACAGGTCGTCGTGGAATCTCACTGTACACGTCTCCACACGATGGGCAACAGAGTCACGTTGGTATCACGTCACTGATATAGCAGCGAAACCGAGAAACACACTCGCGAAAAGGGCGCCGGTTGCGCAACTCTCGCGCGCGGACACGTTTTCACACCCTCGTAAGGCTCCACTCTCAGAACTCGCGCTCGCGTCCACTCGACGCGCCGGAAGACCGGAATCGGCCCGCTCGCTCGCTCGCTCGCGATAGACTCCGCGCGCGCGGCTAAACGCCGCTTCTCTCGGCCGCAGCTAACGTACCACCTCGCGCGGAGACCTCGCCGTGCCTGCCTCGCTTCCACCACCTCGGCCGCGCGGCGCGGCTCGCCTCGCGCGTCGTCGCTCGTAGAAGACTGCCGCTAATCCCCCCACCGACTTTCTTGCGCCGCGTCCGCCCCGCTCCGCGACACGCACACCCGCACGCCGCGACCGTAACTCACCACCACCAGCACGCCGGACCACCACTACC